GACATTCCTTCACATGTGTAAGGCTTCCACGATTACAAATCTCTCCTGGCCATGAGTGTACTGTTTACGGAGGAGGAAGTGCATCAGACAATCGAATTCGTGCGTCGATTTGTTGCACTTCGACCCGACGCTTTCGGAGAGGACGAACCCCTACCATTTCGAGTTACCCCGCTATCTATTTCTGTCAACGAGTTGGAGGGAGAATGCATCGAATGGTCTATGCAGTACCTCAATAACAGGCAAGGGCTGTTTATAATCCTTACTTATGAATAATTGAGCCATTTTGGGGTGAGATAGCAGTGTTTACTCTAGCGTGGAATCTGTCCTTCGTGTTGCGTGTGTTTACATAGAGTTTTGAATACTGTAATAGGGATTGGCATTCAAAATGTTCTGTTTAAAAAATTAAAATGATGTAAGACCCCTGTCCTTTTGTAAAGGAAGAGGAACTTTTCACGCTTGAGATTGTTTTGTGTAATTGTGGTTTCGGACGTGAAGAAACTAAAGAATTCAGTTTAACAAGCTTGGACGGTGATTGAATTTATTTCTAAAAAGATTTTCTACTCGAGGCGAGATAAGCTCATACAGAAAAGTTAATTAATCAATATTATCTTGTTCTAAGCGTGTTTTGAGCGAGAAATTACTTCATTATGTTTCAAGTAACAGGTTTGAGTGAGTGTAATTTAGTTTAATATTACCTCAAACTTCAATATGCGGCATTTTGTAGCCAATATTTCGGTTGTCAACGTAAATCGTCAATATCTTTCAGATATAAATAGTAAATGAGTTACAGATCGGACAGTCGATATTTATCATGGGTGGGTGTTGATATCATCTTTCCAATAAAGGCTGTTCAAACGAAAAAAAATAACTGAAATGATATTGTAGAGTCGGTGCGATTAATTATTGTACAAGAATTTTCAAAGCTTAAAGTACAGTTGAGTGTGATTTAACGCACATCCCTTTGAAGAAAACATTATCACTGAAAATTGACTGAAATATCAGTATGCACTTGTGGTAAACTGGATACACTAAAATTCAAGTCATTCTAATTTAACTTTCTGTAAATGTCGTTCCCTGTTTCAACCAGTGTGAGCAACAGGAGTTGGCTTGCTATTGTAGCATAATTAATGTGAAAATTAAGTTATCAATGTACGATTGAGTTAGGCTTTTAGCTTATGGGATGATCAGGGCAGACCACTGTGCAGTTGATGTGTTCAGCAAACTACATGATTACCACCCTGTTGAGAGAAAACCTATATTTAATTATAATTTTCTGGTAGAAGAGAGACATCTTTTTTTTAAACTAAGCCCAAGCTTACAAAAGTAATGCGTGAGGTTTTTAGACTTTGATACGAATGAGATGATTGTGTAAAGAGCTGTTCCATAGTCCAAGGATCAATCAAGGAAATGTTGTTTTCCTTTTTAATAACAAGACCTGCAGGTAAATATGCTTAAAGATCAATAGGTTAAGTGTCATATACCCCTTTTGCACAAGCAAAACATATTTAGTTAAACCAGCTGTAACTGGATGAAAATCAGAAACAGAGAACTGCGAAAAACTGAAAGGGGATCCAAGTTATTGCTTACTTATCTTTCAATGTGCTACTTTTAAAGTCGGCAAATTTTTTTGGAAGCAGCTTTAGTGATGGTAGAAAGCCAGCATGAAATGACAGAGAGTATTGTGACTTTCTCCTGCCTTTCCTTTTTCCTCCCAGGTTTCCCAAGCAGTTTAATCCTTTCAACCCTAAGAGTAACCAGAATGTAATTTTTCCTTATCAGAATACTGCTGATCATTCATTAAAAGCATAAAAATAAAGGAAAGGATTGAATATCTTAGAAGCTTCTATTGATAAATGAAATGTTTTTGCTTAAAGCATAGCAAAGTGACCTGACTAAGGTTTTCACTAGTATCTTGTGATCTGAATCCTGTTTATCCATATAACTCATTTTTTGAGCATGGTGTTTTCTTTTCAGTGGAGCACCTGAAGCTGTGGCTGCTCTTATAACTCGTGCCACCGTTGATGAAATCAGCAAAAAAGATCTCTCCATTTATAGGCATGAGGAGGAAAAGGATGCTTGTGAGTACATTCAGAATGCATGTGTTCCCAAATTGTCTCCCCTCAAGTACTATAATTTTCATCGTTATTAACTCTATTGACCTAGATAGAATTTCTCCTTACACTGTCAGTACAATGTCAAGGAGACAAGTAATGAGAATAAAGAAAAATATCAATTAGTGAATTATTGGTTGATCCAATTCCAAATTCTTCAAACTAACATAATTAATATTAGAAGACATATATATCAGACAGTAAGAAGAATTGCTGCTTAGATCTTGGGAGTGAAAGTGAAAGGATTGAAGAATTAACTAAGGCCATGAAAATTTTGCCATTGAATTCTGTGCCATAGCCAAATACCTATTTTGATTCCTGGTGCCCCATGAGCCTCTGGCGCAACATCATTTCACTGCAAGGAGTAACTACAAAGGAATTTCTCAGTACGATATCAATAACTTTTAATCAGAAAAATCTGATGACACCTCATGCATCAATTTCAACCAGAAACATGGCTACATAATTCCGAGTTAACTAAGTATAATAATTGATAGATGCCACACATGTGTAACCTTACAAATTTTTTTTCCTTTTTTTTTTTTTGATAGTACTGGACTCCTCCAAAATTGCCAGAGATGCTATTAATAGGGTTATAGAGATTTGTAGGCAATGGAGCAGTGAGCTGCCCTCCTTTCACAAGTCAAAGATCACGTATGAATCATATGCTCACGCTATCAAGAACACCAGAAGAAAAATGGAGGATAGACATGTTATCTTGCCTGAATTTAACTGTCTCTTTGGATTTCCACAGGTAATTTTTTACTCTTGAGATGTTGCCAAGGATGTCATTGAAATTTGTTTAACCTGTTAAGTTGAACTCAGCTCAACTTTGCAGGTAAGCCAGCAGTCAATGCCTGGGACAGGTCATGAGTTGGCACTAAATGTTCACATACAGTACATGTGCGCCATAACATTGTCCTTGAGCATGCCTGCAGCTGCTCTGCCAGCTGTGTTTGCAATAAATGCAAACTAGGCTTAACTGCTGAAGTTTATTTCATTTTTTGTGGAATTATAGAAGTATGAGTATTTCTTGTCATTCTGTCAAATAGGATATATATACTTTGTAAGCTCACCACATGTAACCTTCCCCCCTTTTCCCCATGGAAATTGTTCAATATCCTGTACCGCAATAAATTATTAAATTATCTATTAATATCTTGATATGAGATTTTATTCTCTTTTGATAAGGGCTTCAGCAATCAAGCATTCTTTGCTGTATATGATGGTCACAGTGGAGTGGATGCTTCCAATTTTTCTGCTACTCACCTTCACTGTCATCTTGCAAGGAACAAAAACCTTGATATTGATCCTAGACTTGCTTTGAAAGAAGCATTTGAAAAGACAGATGAATGCTTTGTAGCAAAGGCCAAAAGAGAGGTAATATTTCTAGTCTGGCTGTAACTGCAGTGTTTTATAAGGATCCATAAAATAGTGCATGGTTGCTTGTTAATATGGAATTTCTCTTCTCATACTAAACTAGATATTTCACTTGTTCACTGAACTCATTTATGAGATATTGCGTTGAACACTCAGAGAAATTCCAAATTTATGCACACCCTTGTGTAATTATCTATGTAATTGCCAGTGTTTCTTCTTCATTGCTTGTTCTATACTTGTCAATGACTGATAAAATTGAATGATAAATGTAGAACTTAAGGGACACTATGGTGAAGAAGATTATACTGTATTTATACTGTATGTTATTAGGGCTTAGAAGTGTGGTTTGTGTTTTGTAAGTGCACCTCTGTTTTACAAATTAATCCTTTCACTCCCAAGATCTCATCAGTAATTCTCCTTACTATCTGCCATACGATTCTTATGATGTTAGTTTGGAGAATTTGGTATTGGATCAACTAAAAATCCCCTAGTCGCTATTTTTCTTTATTCTCATCACTTGTCTGCTTGATGTTGCATTAACGCTCTAAGGAGAAATTCTCTCTCTTGGTCACTCATGGGAGTTAAAGGGTTAAGATTTCTCCAGTTTACAGAAAATCACCCTCTCACTCACAAAATTGGTGCAGGACTGCAGGTCTTAGAAGCATTGTAGGGGTTGACTGGCAGCATTCCATGAAACCTGTGGGAACCTCAGCCAGGCAAAGAGAGATCCTCTTAGTTTCAAAAGTGCTCTTTGCAATTTATCCATATAAACATCAACTTCTCTTCATGATATGGCCAAGAGAGCAGTTTGAGAGAATGACACTGGCAGCCTTGTGTTTGTGTTTGTGTTGCCAATGTCCATCAAAGTTTTAGTGAGGATACTGAGGATAACATCATACATTTCTGCAAAATGAATTGAGACAGAACATGAGAGGCTTGTCAAATTTGACATTTTTCTCTTTTATCTTCAAAATTTTTAGGGTCTTCGAAGTGGTTCCACAGGCGTAGCTGTGTTTATAAAGGGTCAATCGCTTTATGTTGCATGGTTGGGAGATTCACAGGTTGTACTGTGTAAAGCTGGGCAGCCATATCTCCTCATGGATCCCCACAAGCCAGATAGAGAGGTATGATGTAACACTGGAAACTTGGTAGAAAACATCAACAGACTCAATTTGTTACTAAAATATATACCTGAGGTTTGTACAGGTCCTGGCAAACATTGAAAGAAATGGAATTTTATAATTTCATTTTCCAGGCCTGGAGAGTCTTTGGATTTAGGTTTGGCTCTTGGAAAATCATGGAAAGTTGTAGAAAATTAACTGGCTTTGAATGAGTGTAAAGATAGATCCAAAGTTGAAGAATTAACCAAGTTAAAAAATAAAATTTAATTTCAGTATAAATAAATATCAGAGCATGTTGTAAGATCTGCGCTTGTAAGATCTGTGCTTGCGGCCATTTTTGTTTATACTGCATTCTTATATGACAATTTCCTAGATTTGTGTGTCATTTGAAATGAACCAATCAGTACACTTGCTTAACTTAGGTCATGAAATTTTTTGAAGAGTGATAGAAAAATTCATGGAAAATCACGGAATTTTTGCAGCTCAAAAGTGTACAAACCCCTTATATCTCTTACTAACCAAGTTCAAGGTCTAAATTGTAAGTTATGGACCAAGTTATTTCTGCTTAAATTTATGGCCCAAGTGTAAAGCATGCAGGTCATAAATCTTGAAGCGGAAGAAAGGAATTTCCATAACTTACAGTGCAAACCAAGAAAAGGAGGGTAGTAAGATAATTTTTATGTCTCCGGCTTCAAATGTAGGAAGAAGCTTTCAATTCAAACAAATTTTTGAATTTATTGGGCTTTAACCCTTAACTGCTAGTTCAAATTTGTCATTCTCCTTACTGTCAACCATACAATTCTTGTAATGTTAGTTCAGAGAATTTAGAATTGGATCAGCTAATTATCCCCAAATTGATATTTTTCTTTATTCTCATCACTTGTCTACTTAATATTGTATTGATATTGCAAAGAGAAATTCTGTCATGGTCACTCATGAGAGTTTAAGGGTCAAGGTAAAAATTGACTAATCAAAGTGCATGTAGTAACTGAGAGATATAACAAGCTCCTATATTTGTTGGTGTGGAGCATGTTTAGCTGGCAGGTAAAGTCCAAGGACAACAAAATGAGCCTCTTTTTGTGCCAAATGGAGCCTATTTTAGATATAACCCTAACACTGTTTGGCATTCAAAATGGATATGAACACCTTACCTTAAAAAAGTATTGTGAATCATGTGTTTTGTGTTAATTTCAATTTCTGCAACTTTTTAGTGATTTCTAGTTTGGTGTCACTCTCAAGCAAAATTTTCTTCTTGTTTCAAAGGCAGTCACAATATCATCTCTTCTGTTATTAAATAACCATCTAATGTCATGTTGGCCATAAAAGGGAATACTTGAACAGGTTTTACTTATAGCATTTTGAGATGAAACTATTTTCCTTGTTCCTATAACCATATCTGTTTATTTACAGTAGCAATGATATTGTAAGGAGAAATAATATGTTGGTCCCTGGTAGGGGTAAAAGGCTTTTATGACTAATCAAGACAGAATTTCTCCTTAAAATATCAATAGAATTGTGTGGCATACAGTTGGAAGAATTACTACTGCAATCTTGAGAGTAAGAGGATTAATCAGCAGGAGTGGTTTAGTGGAAGTTCTCCTCCATGTTTTCTTGCACACCAACTGATGTGGACTATATTCGGCAATGTGTTTTTAAGTTGTTGAAGTAATAAATATTTTTTACTTCTTTTGAAACAATTGTTAACAGATAAAGGTAAATTGCTTCTAGGATGAAAGACAGCGTATTGAAGCTCTTGGAGGTTGTGTTGTGTTCTTTGGTGCATGGCGAGTAAATGGAAGTCTCTCAGTCTCCCGAGCGATTGGTGATGCTGAACACAAGCCTTACATAAGTGGAGAGCCAGACACAGAGGAATTGGATCTTGAAGGTATTGTAACTTACCATACCAGGCACTTATTTGAATTTTGGCCAAAGGAGGGGGGCCTATTGGAAGAGGGCCTTAATTAAGGGGGGGTGCCTATTGTTCTTCTATTTTGGTTCAGCTGTAGGTGAAGCTTTAAAAGTTGTAAATAAAGTGGCATTAGAAACAGGTTTTCCTTGTGTTCCTGCTATCAAAGAAAGGGATGAAGGGGGTACACTTATTCAAAAGAGATGCTTGTTTTACATTACGGCCTTGTGGGTGGGCACTCATTTGGGGGAAGGTCACTTATTAGAGTGAGGGAGCTTATTCAAGGAAACACAGTATTTGATCTAGAATTGCAGGTTTGGAAAGAAGGATAGCTCTGTTTAATTTAATTTTGACTATTTCAAAGATCCTCTTTAACACCCTCTTCCCAAATCAATCAAAAGAGTTGTCATCTGGGACCCAGTTGTGAAGAAGTCTGATACCTCTCTCTTTTAGTTAGCTCCTTTCCCACTTCCCCCCCCCCCTCCCCCTTCTGAAAAATGGTTGTAACAAATAAATCCCTCTAGATGCTAAAAACAGAGAATGCATGTAGGATAAGTGTCTGAAAAGGAAAGCCAAGTGCAAGGAATTGTTAATATTGAATAACATGTTCGTGTTACTCAAACTCCATTGTATCTTTAAATCTTTACTTTGTTTACTTCCTGAACAGGTGATGAAGACTTCCTAATCTTAGCCTGTGATGGTTTGTGGGATGTAATTAAACCATCTGAGGCTGTGGATGCTGTGCGTCAGTACCTTGCTGAAGGGGGAGATAGGGCATCTGTAGCAAAGTGTCTTGTGGATGGTGCAAAAGAAGCAGGTTCTAGTGATAACATTTCAGTAGTTGTTGTCTTCTTGGACTCTCACAAGAAAGAAAATTCTGGACAAGAAGTTTGTGACAGTGTTTCCAGCTTATCATCAAGCAGTGTGCATCAACATGTGCCTTATAATGACAATGGTACTAATTCTTCTGAAAATGGCACCAACCAAGAAACTAATTGTGGAGATTTGGTTGAAAAATCACCAGTACCACCATGTAAAGTCTCACCAAAATCAATCAAGAAATCCTGCGAACCGTCATCTAAATCTTCTGAGGATGGAAGTTCATGTAAAGAAGGGAGTTGTCCAATGACATAATATTGAATCAGCCCCTCAAATCTCATCAGTCACCATGCATTCTCTTTTATAGGATATATTTTAAAAATAAATTTTTATAACCGCAATTTTTGAAAATATGACGCAATTCTTATGAAGAAAAGTTTTCACCATGAAATAGTGGTGGTCCATTTCTATTAACTGTTCCAGAGCCTTTAAACATCTGATGTGTTCATAAATGTAAAAGAAAAAACTGAATGTGAGGAATTTTCTTTTACAAGTTTTGATTTCAAACAGTCATCTACTGGAAAAAGGTTTGTCAAGGCTGAGAAATTATTTTCAAGAACTTATTTATTATCTTATTAGAGTTGCTCACTTGAAATACAGATGGACAGGAAAAGACTCGGTTTTTGCTACAGGCAGAAGTGAACAAAATTGTTGTTTATCCATTTTCAACAAGGAACAATATTTATTAAACCCTCTTAGACATCACAACTGTTTTGTAAGAGGTCTGCTACATGATTGTAAAATGAATTTTCACAGATCCACCTCCACCTTGCATGTTTTCAAAAAGCGCAGTAACTGACGCCAAACTTTTTTTGCAACAGTGCTATTTGTGTGCAAATATCATGGTGTGGTTGGTACATTCATTGAAATGTAACTTGTAACTCGAGGATTGTAGGTGCATTGAGAGGGAATTGCCATCCTCAAGACAGAACATCATATAGAATGACCTTAAACATTAATTAACATGTGATATTATTGATGCAAGTTGGCCATATGTTAAGATATGTTTATTGATTACCTTTACCATACAATGGTTTGTAATTAAAAGCTGTTTACTTTACATCAACCTTTTGACCCCAAAGAATGACTAACCAATTTAATTTCTCCTTACAATATCACCCCTGAATCACACATCAAGGTCATGAGAGTATAGAAAATGATCACTAACTGAAAAAAAAAGCTGTAGATTGTTAAACAAATTCTCTTTCAAGAACAGTATGTAAAGGATCAAGTAAACAGAAATTTACAGTTGGATCTGACCAAGGGGGAAAATGACTTAATAGTTATATATATTTTATATATATTGTAATTAACTGAGAAGAAAAATGTGAAACTTATACATATAACTATACATTTAAACACAAATTGAAAGGTATGTTTTGTGGTGTGTGAGTTTACTCTTTGGTTTTAATTTATGTTGGATGAACAAATGGGTTATTTTGTGAGATTAATTTGACTGGATATTAAAAATTACCCCTTTGACTCGTAAGATTAACCAGCATGTAATTTCTTTCGACAATATTACTGCTGAATCATTTATTAAGATCATAGCAATAAAGAAAATGGTCACCAGCCTAAAAAGCTTTGATTTTTAAATAAATTCTCCTGAGAAATTGTATTAAGGACAGTAAGGTGAAAGTGGATACTGATGTTAAGGTGTGAATTCATGTCGGGTATAAAGTTAAATCTTCTCGGATGAGCAGGCGTACGAGAGCTGCATGGATGAGTTAACATGTTAGATAAATAGCGCTGCTGACGGTCCAACTCAAACAAGTTAATTCAAAGAGGGGTTTAAGGGTTCTACGAGACCTCCTTTTCTGCCCCCGGGATTAAAAGAGTCTGGGTCAATAATGTGTACTTTTAGACAAGGTCTTTTATATTCTCTTAGTCAAGCGTATACATAACTTATGCAATGTAACCACTGTTTCTGCTCCGTTTCCCTCAAATAAACAAAGCTCTCAAAAACGCGCGCTAATTCAGTAATTAAATTAACTTTACTTTGCAGTCTCTGGTTTGTGAAATGTGGTCGAACTAAGTAACGCAAGTGATGAACTGCCCGTAAGTTGCTTTCCTGATCACAATTGTCGAAGCAGTTCTGTATTTTGGCGGTGTTTTTTGTAAGAAAGATTTGTTTCGTGTCAAGCTTTGCCAATGAAGAGAAATTCTTAAGCTAATTAGCTTGAATTAATTTAAAAGTTTTAAAACCATCGGGCTGACTTGACTTGACTGACTTGTGGAGAGCGGTCTCTACAAAGTTTAATGCGGATTCTGCAAAGTTTGCTCGCTCTTGGTAAGTTTAAAATCACCAACGTTTAATTTGGGAGCACTCGCTATACTGAAAATTATAGTCGTGGACAGCAATCAAAGGGATTAATTTTGTCCTCGTGAAGGTTTTCTTGTACATCGAAGACACCTTAGTCTTAAAGTGCATCCCACCACTATGGCAGACAATGATACTTATCGTACATCGGGGATTAAGGTGGATTCCCATCGCATTTCTTTCTTTCTTTTTCAAATTATTCCAATGCACTAGAGGTTAAAAATCCCGGATTACTGCAAGGTAAACTAGGTGCGAATTAAATTAGTTTGACGGCTTTTTAAATAGGCCCGTTTCTCAGAAGTCCCGGTAAGTTAACGAGCACGAAACTATATTTTACAATCAAAATTTAAATAAAAGAAAAGTACGGGCCTGATAAGTTACCAGGACCTTCAAGAAACTATATACTCCGGGAAAATTGTGAACGGGACCTCATACCTTAAATTATTAATTTGCCAAAGTTATTTACCTGAATGGACACTAACAAAGAGCTTGATTATCCCGCCAAAAAATTCAAACATTTTATGTGACACCGGTTTTGGAGAGCTCCGTTGTCAACGCTTTCTCGAAGCAAGTGTTTTCAAATTCATTTATTCTGAAGTGCGTTTTCAAAACTTAGCCTCGGCAGATTTTGAAAAAGTTTTATGCAATTTTCCCAGAAAACCACCAAATGTTGTTGACTCGCTATTTCGTCCCCATCGATAGGGAGCCTGGAACTGAAAAGGCTAATAAGAAAGTGTTCAAAACGTTGGGCATGCGCAAAAGATCACTTTTGGCCGGCCGCGCGCAAATTTCCCGCACAAAAAACCGTGACTTACTGTCTTGTGAGTAAGTTTATAACTCTTAGATCTGTTAGATGACAACTTCGTTCAGAAACCCTGGAAACAAATAAGCAGACGTTTGACTGGCCCCGGCGTTGAACAGGCTAAGAATTAATGAGAACATTTCCTAAATATTTTGTAGGCCTCAAGTAATGACATCAAAAGGCGGTTACAGGAAAATCTCTGGTGATGACGATCATGAGGTCAGTTTTGCGTCTTCTCTTTTCTTTCGTTGGATGAACGGAGTCCTTAAGGGGGGCAGTCAAAGACCTTTGGATCAAAATGACTTTTTACCTTTGTCAGACGAAAACTCTGGCCGTTTTGTCACCGACAAGCTTCGAACAAGCTGGGAAAGCGAGAAACATCATTGCAGGATAAATGGGAAAAGGCCCAAACTTTGGAGAAGTGTGTTTGATATGCTTTCTGCCAAAGATGTCATCATCATTTTGACGGGGAATATATTGTATACAATGTCTCGCCTTCTTTTTCCACTGTTTATTGGGTATCTCGTTTCTAAGCTTATGTCAGCTGAGGCAGAGAAAACTTATCTGC